CCCCCCCACCCTAGCTGGGCAGCTTGTCCCAGCCCCAATCCCTTCCTCCCCCACACCCCTTCTCTCCCCCTCAACTTTCCGAACCCCAACAGACTTACCAGCGGATGGCAGCCATGTCAGCTGCCTGTTTAGTCTATGGTCAAATCTTTTCTAAAGCTTTTCTGAATCAATTCAGATGCTTCAAATCAATTCAGAGCTTTTAATTGGTCTCCTAATTTGATTCATATTTATGATTTGGTCCCCGAATCAGGCTGAATCTCCTCCAAATTGAATCAGCTACCAAAGCTTTGCACAGCCCTAATGTATATTTAACTATAACAACTGCAGGACTAATGAAGCACACTCTTTTGACTATTTTGCCTAGGTAGCTGTGTTTTTTTTTTTTAAACTTCATATATTATCTAGCAAATCAGGGCACAGTTCAGTAAAGTTATATTTGTTTTTGCTTTGAACTTAAACTGAATAATATAGAGCTAGGCCCTTAGCACATTAGTAAAGCTTTTAATTTCTTTTTAAGTAGAGAAAAGTGTGTGTTGAGTTATTTGTGATGATGCACCACACAATCTGCACTCCCCTTTTCAAAATCCTAGATCTGTCCGTGGGGATAGGGTTATTAAATATGTAGACTTGATGCACAGACAGGGAAGGCTAAAATCCTGAAAGGTATTTAGACACCTACTTCCCATTGATTTCACAGGGAATCAGGAACCTACATAAGAGTTAGGCATCTGAATGCCTTTGAAAATTTCTGCACCAACATGACTTGCCTGACCTCAAGCCTCAGGGAAATCTCTGGGGCAGCACTGGTAGTAGGTAATTACTTAAAACTTAGCAGCAACTAAACAGTGTAAAAATTAGTTCAACCAACAGCAGAACTATGGAACAAGGTTCTATGGTTGTCATAACTTCTCTTTAGTGACTTTATCTAACCAGTACTTATCTTTTTTTTTCCCTCTGCTTTATAAACTCTTTTCAGCTTATAACATTATTTCCTCAGAACATGATCTATATGTTGTCCAAAGTTATGTGCAGCTGTGCATAATTTTATGAACATTTATGAAGCAACAAGAATGGAAATCAGGAAAAATAATATCAGAAAGAATGTAAAAGATGAAAAGGACAAAAATGTGGAAGGAAACAGAACACTTAGCTGCAGTGCTGGAGGACTGGAATGAATCAGTGCATCTCATCTCACAAAGATTGTTAGGGCAAATTAGTATTTATCATATATTTTATTTCTCTTCAGTTACTCCGGAGGCTCCAGTCAGAATTTTAGGCCACAATGTATTTTGTTATATACTTTGTGAGGCTCCATTTCCTTCACCAAGCAAGATCTGAAATTTATTTGAATGATTTATTTCTATTTTAATTTATTTTTAAAATATTCTAAATTTTCTAGTTCAGAGACAGAAAACCTTGGGCCTGATCTCCTACCCTTCTCCACTATCCTCTGGGACTTTGATACCTTATTATATGCATTTGTAGCACCTTGACCAAACTGAATCTTCCTCAGCAGACTTCAATATCTGTGTGGAACATAATTGACATCAAGATAGTAAATTGGCACGGTTTTGCTGACACAGATCTGATTGCAGGATGTTCTGTTTGGGGCAGAGCTATCTCTTTTAATACTGCTAACTACTTGGTCCATTATTGGTTTGGTGTTTTTCCTAATTTTTTTCTTACTTGCCGAATATTTGTGGAATAAATATGACTGAAAGTTTCCTTTATTCAACAACCACTTCCTACTTGTTCGCTAATCATTTGCCAAGAAAGGCAAGTCTCTTTTATTCATTTTTCGTAATATTTTTTCTTCTAAACATAAAAATGTTTCCAGGTTGTAATGCGGTAGCTTAGCAGTTATTTTCTCTCAAGAAAGCAGTAGCTAAAATCATCTTTTAAACTTAAGATCCTATGAAAATATTATTGACAAGATTTTGATAAATCACGTAAATTTTTTTCCCTTTTGCTTTTGTGTAAATCTTGCTTTTTCTTTCTTAGCAAATAATTTTGTTTCTATGATCCATTACTATTAAAACATTACTTGCAGGAGCCATAAAGCGGAAGGTTGAATTGGATGGGGGTACAGAAGATACAGAATATCTTCAGAAAGTACAAATACATGTAGAAGGGACATTAAATGAATCAAGACCAGATATAATAATATATAATGCTGGAACTGATATCCTGGATGGTGATCCACTTGGAGGTCTAGCTATTTCACCTCAGGTTTGTATAACATTTCTTCATAAGAACTACCATTTACTGGGTCAGACCGTAGGTCTATTTTGCTCGGTATTCTGTGTCAGACAGTAGCAGAGAGTAAATGGTAAAAGGGAGAATGAACTGGGTATGACCATGGCAGGCAAGGTTCTTTGGATGAGGGTTTTTTCCATTTTTCCTCTCACTTGCAACCTCCAGCATTTAAGGTCTAGGAGGTTCTAATTCAGAGGCTGTCCCCCTAACTCCCATGCTCAATAGCTACTGCTGCCCCTTTCCTCCAAGAATTCATCCAATCCCTTTTTGGGGATTTTCAGCAGACTTTGTGGGGTTGTGGGGGGAGGGGATTGCACTAAATACCAATACCGAGGATTGGGTCTACTGTAGCTTTGCCTTTCAACACTAAAGGTTTGAGACTACCTCTGAAGTTTGTCACACCCATTCAACCAGTGTTCCTGGTCTACTGCCTTGTGTTGGCTCTCAACTATGTTGTTCTTCCTCATGCCACAACCACACTTCTTGTATTGAATCCTGCTGCTTTTCCAAACTGCATCCTTCATCCAGAGTTTATTTTCTGATCTCTCTCTACCCTATCATTGTCCTACCCTTCTGCTAAATGCCAGGTTCTTCTCTCTTCATCCCCAGGAAAGGGTGAATATAGTTCCTGCTTCTAGCCCATAGCTAACAATATTAAATGGGAGCAGTAGAAGGAAAAAAAGAAAGAATGGAGGTATGTTATGGGGTCTTTTCTCCAGAACATTATCAGATAGTCAGTCACATTTAGGAAGATTTTAACACTTTAAAATTGTCATATATAATAAAGCAAGCTTACTGAGTATTTAACAGTGTTTAGAATTCTTTACCAGAAAAACTTTTAACTGTTAAATTAAATTAATCCTACACATACCAAAAAAGCCAAAAAGTAAAACAAAACACATCCCCAAAGTAAAAAATCCAATATGCTTACATATTTCCCTCACACCCAGTCTCACTCTTCCAAGTCTCCCTTGCTCTATTTCAACATGCTTTCAGCCTTCTATTTCTTACTTGTATCTCACTCTTATTTTCTAATTTCAGCTATTTCCACCTTCCATTCCCCTGCTTCAATACCACCATAGTTTATTAAATAGCCTCCATTCCTTTTAAAAATCTGCTCTCTGTTATTTGCAAATTCATTTTCTCTTCTCTCCATTCAGCCATCTTCCCTATGCCTCTGTCCACTCCTTCGTTTTTCTTCCTCTCTATCCATGTTATTGCCTTGCACAATCCATTCTCTGGTTTTCCCCCACATACCATTAACTATTAATTCTTCCCTCTATCATTCATACTTTCCTGATTTCCTTCAAGCCATTCTGCATTCTCTCCCATCTCCTACACCAGTTAAACCGTACTGTGTAATCACTTAATCCTATTTGTCTCCTTCTATTTTATCAGTGCTGTTCCTACCCTTTCCTTTCTTCAGGTATTCTTTTCCTTTTCTAATTAATTCAGTTTTCAGTTTCTCATCCTATCTTTACTTGGTTCAGCTAAGATATTTATGTATCAGAGTATTTCTCTCTTATTTGGCTAAATTTTGAATTCTTAGAAAGAAACCGTACATTTCCATGTCTCTGTATTGTCTAGTTCAGGGGTTGGCAATCCCCGGCACGCATGGCATGCAAAGCCATTTTCCTTGGCGTGCATTGGGGCTGGGGCCGAGGCTGGGGGCAGGGAGGCAGCAGCTGTTTGCAGTCTCCTGGCTGCAGCCAGCCCCTGCTCTCAATAGCTGCTGCCAGCAGGCTTCTGGGAGCAGTCCAGGCATCATGGCTGGCAGCAGCTACCCCAGACTTTGGACCAGCTGCAGCTGGGAGGCTACAAACAGCTGCTGCCTCCCCGGCTCCCAGCAGCAGGCTGGGAGGATGGAAGCCGTGCTGCAAGCAGCCTCGGCTCTGTGGCTATCAGCAGCTACCCAGAATTTGGGTGGACTACAAACAGCTGCTGCCTCCCCACTCGGCCCTAGTCCCCGCTGCCTCCCAGCCCTGGACTCCAGGGAGGCAGCAGATACTGGCGATGCTCCCCGCTGTGCTGCCCTTGTCGCCGCTTCTGCAGAGTAATGTGTGGGACCCAGCACAGCAGAGCACACCAGGGGGCTCAGAAAGCTGCCTACCGCTCCGAGTTCCCTGCTGCCCTGGCCACACTTCCCCTGCAGGCGGGGGCAGGAGTGATGGGCAGCACGCAGGGTTGTGCCCATGCTGCTCCCATGCACACAGGGGAGGTGTGACCCAGGCAGCATGGAGCTTGCAGCAGCAGACAGCTTCCCTGTGCAGCCCCTAGGTGAGCTGCAGCTCCAGGTTGCACTTGCTGCACTCCAGAGGGCCCTCCAGAGGACCAAGGGGAGGGTAGCAGGCCTGGGAGTGCAGCATTTGCAACCCAGAACAGCAGCACAGAGGGGCCGCCCAGGGAACATGGGCCAACAGTGTGGGGAAGCTGTCAGGAAGGCCAACTGTACCTTGTCATGCATCCACAGATGCATCTGAAGCAGGTCCAAGCAGGTGATACTCCCCCTCTGTGCAACAGTGGTCAGGCTGCAGTTGGAGTACTGCATCCAGTTCTGGGCACCGCACTTCAGGAGGGATGTGGACAACATGGAGAGGGTCCAGAGGAGGGCCACTCACATGATCAGGGGGCAGCAGGGCAGGCCCTACGAGGAGAGCCTAAGGGACCTGAACCTGTTCAGCCTCCACAAGAGAAGGCTGAGGGAGGATCTAGAGGCCGTTTACAAACCAGTCAGGGGGAACCAACAGGCATTGGGGGAGTCCCTGTTCCCCCGAGCACTACCAGGACGGACTAGAAATAACGGTCACAAGTTGGCAGAGGGTAGATTCAGGCTAGATATCAGGAGGCGCTACTTCACTGTCAGGGCGGCTAGGATCTGGAACCAACTTCCAAGAGAAGTGGTGCTGGCTCCTACCCTGGGGGTCTTTAAGAGGAGGCTGGATGAACACCTTGCCAGGGTTGTTTGACCCCAGTACTCTTTCCTGCCATGGCTGCAGGTTGGACTTGATGATCTGCTCAGGTCTCTTCTGACCCTACCAACTATGAAATTGTGGAGTTTTTCAGCACTCCGGCCAAAAAACGTTGCCTACCCCAGTCTAGTTTATCAAATCTTCACTGGTTGATTTAGTTTCCTTCTCAGCCAGTTCATAAGTTCAGTGCTTTGTCCCATTCCCAAAATCAGTTATTTTTCCTCTTTACTAATCCAATAACATACACTCTTCCATCTCTTAATTCACTGTTTTTCAGAGCCCTCTAATCATCAGTTCATTTCTTGGATTCCTTTAATCTGTTTGTTTGTCAGGCTGTCCCACAGGTCTTAGGCATCCCTCCCTGCTCAACACCTTCTTCCTTCCTTGAAGTCTATTTTGACATTTTTTGCCATGCCCTCAGTTCTCAGCCTCTTCATTAGTCTGAACATTTTCTTCCTTTTCAGTGCTCTTTCTCTGCCTGCTAAGTGCTTTGTGAGCTGGGTGTCTTCTTCATAAACTGCTGGGACTCTCCAAGCTCTGCTCTTGTGGCAAGCAAGCAGGGGCAAGGAGCTGAGATGTCTAGAGGTCTCTGCTAGTTAGCTTAGAAAAGATCCTACATGTGCTCTGACTTCCCATCTGCTGGAAGAGAAGAACAGTGGGCAGAAATGGAGGGAGCAATGGAGTACAGGAGGAGACTCCTAAGATCAACATCTTCTATATAAGAAAGGGGAAAAAATGGTAGATATCTGTGTTGCTTAAAGGTGGAAGGTAAGTTAGAAGGTACGCAACAGTGGAGTTAGTGAGCAGAGGGTGGAGAAGGACAGAAACTAGTGGGGAGAAAAGAGGTTTTGCTGACCACAAAGTGTGGGGTGGGATCCTGAGCTAGAAGACAGTGTGGCAGTGCTCTGAGAAGCTGTGGATTCAGCCACCTAACAGAGAAGGAGTTGGTGAGGGCGTCTCTCTGTGGCAGGACTAAGCCCATGGTCAGGCTCAAGGTTCTAATTCCTTCATGGAGAATGCAAGGTTTCTTACCATCTAGCATCCAGGCAGCGTGTTGTCCAGATGTGAGTGGAGGAAATGTCAGCAGTAGTCTCCTCTGGCCTTGTTCAGATGTCATACTCTAAGGGCATTAAGCTCTTAGAGTATAAGATGAGCTGTATTTTTCACCTGCCTGTTTTCCCTTCTGGCAGCAAACAGATACTTGGACAAACTTCAGCTCTCTCTTCTTCAGTGCCATTCTAATCAGCAAGACATGAGCTTGCACAAACTGGTGGGGAGGATGGGGCCATCTAGTCAAATGTACATTTATGATACAATTAACATGTTAATCCCACTGTAGATGGCAAAATGCCATATGTTCAGCCAATGTATTATGGAGCCATAAAATGGCAAAGTAGCCACAAAGACATGCCACATACAATGGCTGGTTTGTATAGTGTCTTAAATTGAACATGTATTGTGCCCTTGTACCTATGCCAACAATAAGCCTTGGGACAGTTTGAGACTGAGTTAATAATCAGCTGATTATTGTGGGCATGGAGAGTGGGGTAGTTTGAACCAGGATGTGGCTGCCCAGAGATCTGCAAGAGCCAGGTAGAGAGCTGATCGTTTGCCCAGCTTTGAACTTGCCCCCCAGCCCAGCATTTGCAGAACTGTGTGCCTGGCAGCTCAGCATCCCTGCAGGTGGCGTGGCTAGACACCTGGCTTTGAACTTGGTGTGCTGGGGGGGAGCTGAGCAAGGGATCACAATCCTGGACTATCCACATATGCTGACAAGTTAAAAGAATGCTGTTGCCTGCACCAGTGGGTTGTAATTGGGAGATCCATCATCCCCAAAATTATGTGTCCTGCTGTGCACATCCTGCTGCATGATTGTTTGGATCTGTGATCTGATCCCATTGCACCATTTAATTAACCTCTGCCAGGGGCCTGTGAATACTACCAGTTATCTTCTGGCGCAGTCCTTGTCATTTTAGGCAATGGTTGGTCTCCTTTGGATCCAGT